TGGAATTTGCAATGTCATTAATGTAGACTAGAAATAGAACAGGGCCTAGAATCGATCCCTGTGGGACACCACATTGTATGTTCATGTATGGCGATGTAATGTTGTTAATGAAAACTGACTGTTGGCTGTGGTAGAGGTAGTTTTGAAACCAGTTTAATGAAAGGCCTCTGATACCATAATGTTTTAATTTATTCAATAAGATATCATGATTAATAGTATCAAAGGCCTTTTTGAGGTCAATGAATACCCCAAAAGTAAGATACCCATTATCGAGCTGCTCACCTATATCAGAGACCAGGTCTGCCAGGGCTAGTTTAGTGCTACAATTTTTTCGAAATCCAAATTGTGTATCTAAAAGTATATGTTTTGTTTCTAGGTAATTTATAAATTGCTTGATAACAATTGATTCGATAATTTTACTGAAAATGGTGAGAATTGAAATTGGTCTGTAGTTGCTGGGTTTAGTGGTGGCCCCCTTTTTATCAATTGGGATTATTTTGGCTATTTTAAGTGCATCTGGGAATATTCCATGGCTCAGTGAACAATTGATAATGTGGGTTAACGGGCGAGAGATAACATTTGCAGCTTGTATGACTAATTTGGGATGGATTTTGTCAACACCAACAGATTTACGCGAGTCTAAACGTTTAATTTTATTCGACACATCTTGCTCACAGACTGGGTGGAAAAAGAAAGAATTAGGGTAATTACCATCTAGGTACTTTGCATAATTGCTGCCAGATGGTATTTTCAAAGCAAGATTGGAGCCAATGTTAGTGAAGAACTAGTATAAACAACAAACATGGTGTTTTGTTTTGTGCTTTCATTCAAAATATCTAACTGGCAATTTTGTATGATATGAGAATAAACGATGACATTTGAAAATAACTTGCATGAAATGTGTGAATACTGTAACACCATTTATTTTCACTGACATTTAATTTCCCTGTTTCAATGTTTTGAGCATATTCACTGCGTTTTAGTTTCACAAATTTCTCATGGAAACATCAAGTTGTATTGTTATTTTACATGTACACGTAGATTGTATTTGGTGGATTTTACCTTTCAGCGAAAATAGCAAAATTAAAACACAGTGAATAATTAATCATGCATTTACAGTATCTCCCCACTGATTTAATTCTAATCTATCTACATTTTAATTGTGACACAGTCACTAACAACTGAACAGGGACTATGTCATCGACAACAACTTGTGTTTGGGCAATTAAAGCTGGTACAACAGCCTCTCATTACGATGTTACAGTTTGTAGTGTAGCATTGATTATTGTGCGTTTCATTTCAGGCAAGTTGTGGGTACAGCGGTCCCTTCTCCAGGGAATTCACCATTCATTGCACAGCGCCAAATTCATGGTTACGAAAGAAATGGAAAGGACAGTCTACCACTCTGAGATAACACTTCATACTACCCTGAGTGTAGTGGTTGACAAGTTGACCTGGTTGTAGATATCCTACGGGATTGAGAGAAGCTACATAGCTAGCCTGGGTAGCCAACTAACAGGCTGCATGCTGCTCTGATTGAGGAGTACTTTATTATTCAGATTTGCAAATTCTGCAACCATTCATGTTTTAAACATTGCTAAAAGCTCAGTTTGTTGTTTTACATGAAGATGGAGCAGTTTGTTCCCTCTTACATCCGTCCACCGATATAGTAATTTGTGCAAATGAATCCCCATTACATGATATTAATCCGTTCCAACTTACGCTGCCGAAGCCTTTTTTTTATACTGATGTCAACTTTAATAGGAAATTAAATCTATATCATAAAGAATACTTTAATTTTGCACAAAATAACTTTGGTTAACTTGAACAGATTGTATAAGAAACCATTTGTCAGTAGATGGATATGAACTATGAGATAGTGTGCTAGCTATACATGAACTTGCCAGAAGGTCAAATTCATTGACAATTAAATAATAGGAGAAAAATATACTCCCAGTTCAGGTGCCTGCACCAGCGAAGTATGATTTAAAGTGAAATATATAAAAAAATTATATGTAAATTTGAGGCTGATGGTATTTTAATAAATTAAGCTATTTTTGTTTTTACGCCACAGTTGTTACGCTGTGTTGTGTTCGTTATAATTCTCATGCCATGTGTTTAAAAGAATTTTTGTTTATGCAAAATTTAAAGCACTTTAACATAATTCTGAAGAAATTGATAAAAATGGCTTGGCTAATATATTTATTATTTAACTGATTGTGGTGTTAGTCAAATGTGAAGAGGATATTCAAAACTATATTTTGAAGAAACAGGCTGATTATTAACTATTACTTGTAAACGATTTCCATAGAAGACAATAATAAAAGCATTATTTCATTTTAACCTATTTCTTTAACTATGGTTTCAAACTAAATAATCCAAACTGTAATAAACTAAGTCCCTATGCAATTCTGTGGCAATAAGTTGTCACGGTAATATCAGTTGAAGCCAATAAAACAATCTAAAAAGCAACTTCATTAAATTTGAAAGCGACGTTTGTTGTAACATTCACAACTCAGACTTACTAAGTGACTTGCTCTAGAGGGCGCTATCATGAAAATTCCAGCATGAAATCTTATTGCAGTTTGGACAGAGGGCGCTGTTCTAGTCTTATACAATCCAATATCTAACCTTTTAAAAATATAGTCAACTTTTGTCACGGTTTTGGAAATAAAACTGTATAGAAAACCTTAAAGCGGGAAGTTCATCACCTGCGACATACTTGAGTCCCAGGCAATAACAACATGCAAAGGCTCATGGGTAGACGCTTGTTTGTAAACAACGACATGCTATGACCATCTGACATAAGCTGGTGACGACTCCTCCACGTTAGCACAGTGGCTATATTAGTCATTTTAAGCTTCGCGTCTAAAAGGATAATCTCAAACTTTAAGCCAACCATGGCCTTGAACATCTTTCTAAGCTTTCATTGATTTTACCTGTAGGCAATTGAAAATAAAATTCATTTGGTACAAATCATCACAAAAAATTATAAAAAAATACATATTTATATGCAAAAAGTTATGCCAAAAGTTTGGTGTAAAATACTAATATTATGTTCAAATGGTTATCCCAGTCGTGATCATGTTAATTGCAAATACCACCTTTATTTTGAATACTGACTAGTGTGTGGTTGTAACTGTTGTTCTTTCATGTGATTGTGTGTTTTCAGAGAAATTTAATATTTTTTAACTCATTATTGTGTTTTTAAAACTTATAAGTATTTTACAGCATCCCCTCTCAGCAACTTTAACACAGAGCAACTTTGCTATTTGCTCCAGAAAAAGTTTTGTTAATATATGATATTAATTATTAACAAAATATGAAAGTTTACTGCACCAATTTTACATACAAATTGTTTGTAATATATCAAAATAGACCTGAGAATTTACACCTGCGATGGTATTGTGTCGAAAGAGTGAAGTTAGCTGCTAAAGTAATATTTTGGGGGGATTTACATCTTACAAACTATTTTTTTTTCGCTGGATTATTTTTCATGGCTTTGCTGTATTTTGGATTTTTTTCCCTGTCTATTGTGTGAGATTTTTTTTTTTCATAAATATTTTTTCCCCCTGTTTGAAAATTTGTTTTCTTTAAAATGTTCTCTGTAAATCTTCTTGGAGTTTCTAATGGTCAAGCTCTAAATATGATTTTTCAACTTTCATTGCATAAACATGAAGACAAAATTTTATGAGTTGTAATCAAAATAATGATTGAGATAAGGGGTCTTGTTATTCCTTAAAGAGTGCAAATGAATTGTGATCAAAAGGATGATTGAGATAGGGGGTCTTGTTATTGCTTAAAGAGTGCAAACGAATTGTAATCAAAAGGATGACTGAGATAGGGGGTCTTGTTATTGCTGGAAGAGTGCAAACAAATTGTAATCAAAAGGAAGACTGAGATAGGGGGTCTTGTTATTGGTGGAAGAGTGCAAACGAATTGTAATCAAAATGATTGAGATAGGGGGTCTTGTTATTGCTGGAAGAGTGCAATATTCAATCATTTTTGCTATTTACATGAAATGTAAGTATTTTGTTCCCGTTGCTGGGATAATCTCAAAACTTGTTTATGGTTCTTGGAATGAATTGCTTGACTACAGAATTATCAAAAAATGTAACATATCAAACTTTTAAAAAATAAATATTGTATATGGAAATACTAAAATGTGCATTATTCATGACTTGTGTTTTCTTGTCCTTGTGTAAACTTCATGTACAAGACCAATTATTGGCAGTGCAGTGTAGTTCCCCGAACACATGGTACATAAGGGTACTTGCAATGGGAATCTACAGGTATGTAGCAACATGACACTAAATGTTGTCCATTGTTTGAGCCACCAAGCTTTGAAAGGGGGCACCATTCATCACACACAGATACAAATAATTCTTGAAAATCAACAAAATGTGTTCAACCTCAAAACAAAACAGCTTGTACAATATTAACAAATTGATAAAAATATAATCTAGTCTGTAAATATGTAGGCTATTTTCACTAAATTATGTTCTGGAATGTGAAGGAAGCTATCCTATCTATTAGTAGTGAATACTAGACTAGCATACAATCTGTTGTTTGTTTGTGGTGTTATTTTATGTGAGTGTATAAGTGATGAAACTGGGTTACTGCAAAACAAAACAAGTTTGTTAGTTGCGTGGTAACCATGAAACAATCATGTTTTTTTTTTGTTTTTTTGTTATGGTAACCCAGCTTCCGCCATCTATACACTCACATAATATTTTAGTTTATCCTCGGGGGGGGGGCGGACATCCGGGCATTTTCACCGCCTGGCAACCTGCGGCGGTGAAAACAAAGGCCCAAAACTCGCAGAAAACGGTATTTTGGGATGATTGTTGAGACTCCTCTGAACAGTGTAACAAGATTAGCCCTACGTGTGTAACATATATAAATTTGGTTGTTCGGGATTACTTCAAAGTTGAGTTTGTGTTGTTTTCTCGAATTTTCACCGGCTCAACCGGCGTTCCACAGCAGTGCGCACAGAGCCCATAGAAATGCATGTACAGTGGTGAGCGTCGTAGCAACGTGGAACGTCTTGTGACGTAGCTCCGCCCCCGAGGATTGAAAGAACACTAAAAAACAAGAGTCTAAACCTTGAGTGAACCCTGCCCCAGTAAATGCATGGTTTGCGGCAATGGTAGGATTTCTGGCTTCTCATTTTAATTACGACGATCGTTGACTTGTTGGGTACAATTGGGTACAGTATCACCTTCTTGTTTTATCACCTTCGTGATGATAACAAACAGCGCCACCCAGAGGTGAGGCTACACACTCCTCAAAGCAAATGCTTTGATAGGCTTATCCTGGCTATCTCGGCTATCTTGTCTCTTGCAAAAATCAAATGTATTTACACAAACATTGAATGAACTGATCTAGCATTGGTGATTGGTTTCTATCAAAGTGTAAGGTTTTATTTTGAAATGAGAGCTGGGCATGCCTGTTACTGTGCAAATTGTGAGATATAGTTTTGTACGCGCCCTCTAGCGACGAAATGTTGAAGTCTCCACGAAGTAAAAATAACAACATGGTTTTGGTTGGGTGTTCGTATTTCTTTCAGAATATAGCAAATCACTAAAACGTGGGCGTGATTTATCATGGATGTCCCTGGAAGAAAAATGTTCTTCTCACATTACCTACATATAAAAGTATACCATTTAAAGGGCTTTGGTGGTCGCGCAGCGCGTGTTCGAATTTCATGTAAACAAACACGCGCTGTGTACGTTAAGTCAGGTGATAACCACGTGATGATGACGCCATCAATCGCTCTCTCGTGGACCGCGCTGTCGTAGACTCTTTCTCTCGTGGCCTGTCTGCAGCCACACCTCCCTCGTTTACGTCGCTATGAGTTCCACATCGAACAGGACGAGGCGAAACGACAATCGCCCTTCAAAACAGGCCCATGTTCTTGAGTCCTACACTATGGACGGACGGGTGTATTTTCTATTCGTCGATGAGTAAGCGCAGTAATTATTAACTGGGTTTCTATCAGCTAAAACCACTTGAACATCAAATTGCAATTGAACATTGCTTACTGTAAAAGACTTTATTTTCGCTTTGAATTACAAGTAATTTTCGCTATTTTCGCTTAAGGAATAATTCAGTGAAAATAAAATCCAGCGAATATACCTTTTTTTTCTATATTTTACATTCGACAAGTCAAAAATCAGTGAAAATTAATTCCATACAAAACACCCAAAAAGTCTCTTCAGCGAAAATTAATTCCAGCTAAAATAAAGCAGTTTACAGTAACTGAAAAATCTGTGAATTTGATTCAAAAACGATAAGATCAGAATTTCAAAACATTAGTGGTAAACACCAGTGAAGAATGACAATTTACAGTATTTGTTTGACAAGATTTGGCCTTGCTTTCAGGCAGTAGTTTCTGCTCGATTCTTGTATAAAATATGTTACGCTCTTCGTCATACATATTCCTAGTGTTCTATCCATGTGCATAATAACGTAACTGGCACGTGATTTTGTGTGACGAGATCCCGCTGAACATCTGACAATTCTAATGATCACATTCAGTCTGAATTTTAATATACGCATTTTATAAATCCTCTTTATGTACATACCGATTGTTGATGCATGCATATGAAGGTATAGCCACATGAATACGGAAATCACGTTTCAAACAACTGCATCTTTAACAAATCTCACATGCTGACTACATTCTCTTT